TTTCTTTTTCAAGATTTACTACATCTGTAAGCACAGTTCCAATGATTCCCCAACAACTAAACTATCTCACCTACTGACCTCGCCAACTCACCACGCCTACTCACCACACCAACAGAGTTGACAGTAGTGAGAAAGTATTTACTGCTCCCAAGCCCTTACATTGGGTCACCCCCACCTAGCTGATCAGGTGCCAATGCCAAGCCGGCGCTGGTCCTGGGCCCCACACTACCAGTAAATCCAAAAGGAAGAAATCCACCACCATTCCATTAAAGTCCAAACACAAGCGTAACCTTATTGCTCAGGACAGGCAAACATGACGCCCCACCTCTGACCACCTCCTCTCACACCTGGTAGGAGGTGCTAGGTGGGGCTTCATGTCCCAAAAATAAAGTTACACTTGCAGTGGGTTTTAACGGAGTGCCACCGGACTTCCTCCTTCCACCAGACTGAGTTGGCAGAACAACCACAATAAACATGATCTTAATCCTTGAGATCTGAGGGCACAACCACCCCACCAACAGACATCAGTACGAGATCAAGTCTTTGATGATGAAATGCAGATCATTTTTTAAAGAAATCGTAAACTATGTTCCTTGTTGACGAGCCCTGAGAACAAGATGTCCGCTCTCTGGAATCCATCTTGGAGTAGCTTATTGTATTTTCCACATCAATGAAGAAATGGTTAAAGTCCTGCAGGATAACATGAACAAGACTTCACACCCTGAACATGTCCTGTCTGCACCTTGACTACCACCGCAGGCTCTGTGCCGTTATCCTGCAGCCCAAACTACTCCATCCAGGGGTCAGAGCTTTCAGGCAGAACCACCACCAGGGATCCAGCCACAGGTTCTGTGAGATCCACCTCCAAAAGACCAGGGAGAATGACGCTGAACTTCCCCCATACGTCGACAACTCCTTCACGTCATTATCTGCCCTATATATCAGAACTGATGGGCAGGTCCAGTATAGGGGGCTGGAGCTCTGTGTGCAGCCCTGACCCTGAGCAAAGTCACTAAGAAGGGTTCCAGTAGAAGAAGAAACAAATCTAAATCCAAAAGGTTCTGTTGAACGTGAAGAACTACACAAAGATATCTCCCGAAGCCCATCTATCATGACATTGCTTCCAACAGGTGCCGGGTTCCATGGGGGTCAGATGTACAGCATGAGGGACTACACAAAGATATCTCCATAAGTCCAATCTATCATGACATTGCTTCCAACAGGTGCCGGGTTCCATGGGGGTCAGATGTACAGCATGAGGGACTACACAAAGATATCTCCAGAAGCCCATCTATTATGACATTGCTTCTAACAGGCGCCGGGTTCCACGGGGTCAGATGTAGAGAAGGGAAGTTGGAAGACAAGTCTCTAGGCCAGGCTCCACCAAGTGCATACATTATCATTGAGCAATTCAGGAGAAGCTCAGAAACGGACTCTAAACTTTTTCTTTGCTTGTTGAAAAGTCCTGAAATTAGAATGTTTTGTCTTTGGAATCCATCTCGGAGTAGCTTAATGTTTCACATGAATGAAGAAGCAGCTAAAGTCCTGCGGGGTAACAGCAAGGTCCATGAAACTTCACAACATGAACATGTTCTGCCTGAACCTCAACTGCCACCACCGGCTCTGTGCCGTTACCCTGCAGCCCAAAGTACTCCATCCAGGGGTCGGAGCTTTTAGGTGGAACCTCCACCAGGGATCCAGTCACAGATTCTGCAAGATCCATCTCCAAGAGGAGATGACTTACAACAACTTGAGCCACGGAGAATGGCACTGAACTTCCCCCATAAGCCGACAACGCCATCACGTCATTATCTGCCCCATACATCAGCACTGACGGGCAGGCCCAGTATAGGGGACTGGAGTTCTGTGCGGAGCCCTGACCCTGAACAAAGTCACTAAGAAGGATTCCTGTAGATGAAGAGACAAACCCAGATCCAAAGGTACTGTTCAGCGTGAGGGACAACACAAAGATGTCTCCATGACTGTCGGCTATCATGACATTGCTACCAACAGGCGTCGGGTTCCACGGGGGAAGCTGCAGAGGAGAGGAGTCATAGGACAATTCTCTAGGCCAGGCTCCACCATGTGCGTACATCATCCTGGAGGAGTTCAGGAGAAGCTCAGAAACGGACTCTTGTTGGGGTTTTTCATTGTAAATCTTTTGAACGGAGTCGGAGAGAATTTTCCCGGCAGTGGGACCACCAGTTGTGAACAAAGTCATTGTATCCAAGTGCAGTGTCAGCGGCTCCTCAATGGTCAGATGTCCGGAGACCGACTCGGTGAATTTCTCCATTTCTGTAACCCCGATGTCAGTCATCAGGCTGTGTATGAGGTCTTCCGGGAGCCCAGAGTCTGACATGGAACTTGCGATCTGCTCCAAGAGTTTGCCCAGTGTAGGATTATATACCCGTTCTCCCACGTTCTTCAGACTTTGACGTGAATCACAGAAGAGGCTCCGCAGACCCTCAGAGGACAGAACCTTATTATGATTTGCCACGAGAGCAGCATGGAGGATGGAGTCCACCAAGAAGCCCTCATCTGCTAGAATGACAGCAGAATGCACCAGCTCAGCCCAAGGTTTCTTCCCATACTTCTGACGAAGCACCCATAACCCCTGAAGAACCTGAGGAACTCCATACGAAACTGAAGACGCTTCTTTAGGTATTGCATTTAATATGGAGGAGTTCTGTGATGTTCTGTTGAAATAGATGGAGGAGAAAGCTCCACCTGAAACGATACATGGAGACCATTAGCTTCACTCTTATTATATGGCTTATTAAACATTCACATTCAGCAAAACCAACATATACCAATTCTTCCCTATTTCTCCCTAAATTCCCCTTCCCCCTCCCACTCACTTCTCCAATAACCTTCCTCATACCACCAATTTCCAATTACCCCATACACACCAATCATCTACCAATAGCCCACTACGTTCCACCCGTCACCTCCCACTTACTCCTCCAATAATCTCTTACACTTCACCAATAAACTAGAACATAGCTTATTCCCCCATACACTGTCCCTACACAACAACCCCCCACCTGCCCCAATTATCCCTCTGATCCCTTATACATTCTACCAATCTACTCCCACATGGTGTCTCCAATATGATTCTGCTTATCCCATAAGGCCTCTTTGTCATGCGTAGGTTCCCCCAAACACCTTCTACCCCATGAGGAATCGATCCTCCCAATCACCTTCTACCCCATGAGGAATAGATCCCCCCAATCACCTTCTACCCCATGAGGAACAGATCCTCCCAATCACCTTCTACCCCATGAGGAATCGATCCTCCCAATCACCTTCTACCCCATGAGGAATCGATTCCCCCAATCACCTTCTACCCCATGAGGAATCGATTCCCCCAATCACCTTCTACCCCATGAGGAATCGATTCCCCCAATCACCTTCTACCCCATGAGGAAAAGATCCTCCCAATCACCTTCTACCCCATGAGGAATCGATTCCCCCAATCACCTTCTACCCCATGAGGAAAAGATCCTCCCAATCACCTTCTACCCCATGAGGAATCGATTCCCCCAATCACCTTCTACCCCATGAGGAAAAGATCCTCCCAATCACTTTCTACCCCTTGAGGTGCAGGTTCCCCCAATCCCCTTCTACCCCTTGAGGTGCATGTTCTCCGAATCACCTTCTACCCCCCCGTGTCTCCTGCAATATATAAACTGATCCTTCAGAGGAAGGCAGACAATCACTTACCCAAGCTGGAGGTGTGTGGGTGGACAACCACCAAGCAGAGCACAGCAGAGATTCCTGCGTCAACCACCGAACCCCCCGACTTGAGGACGTCCCGAGCCAACATGGAGCATGTCTCTGTCATCCAGAAAACAGAGTGTTATATATGACTGCAGGAGGAGGAGGAGGACATCACACAAGATCACAGAATGATGGCGTTATATGTGACCGCAGACTTCCCAGAACACAAAGCTGAGGAACTCTAGAGACAAATGTAAAGAAAATCCAACATTCCTCACATAATCCCACCTAGACGTGCCATCATTCTCATTGTCACTTTCTAGTTCGGTGGAGAAATAAAAAACTAGCATCGAAAATGAGAAAAATGACAAGAAATCATAAAAAAAACCTTGTCATGACTTTCCTCAAATACCCCGCCCCCCCCCACCCCCCAGGGATCCTGGAGATCCCTATATCCCCATACTGTATTCCTCACCAGAGTCTGTGACAGCCACGGCTTGGTGGAAGGTGCCCACAGAATGGTGATGGTTAGGAGAAGAGTGTCCATCTTCATGGTCATCTCCCTCCTCTTCTTCATGGTCATCTCCCTCCTCTTCTTCATTGTCCGATGTTTGGGCATCATGGTGGTGGTGGTGATGACTTTCCCCAAGCTCTTCATGATTGGTCAGCGGTGGGGGACTTCCAGAGACCCTACTATCTGGGGACTCATCGAGGTGTACAAGGAACCTGTGTTGTGAGGCCGATGCATCTGTATTCCGGAACTGGAAGTCATAGAAGACGAAGCCGGCGGCCACCAGCAGCAGAAGTAAGGCGGAGAAGATCCGGATACAGGTTTCTCTATATTGCTCCCGGATGAGGGGTGATGGTTGGCTACAAGGACAACGACAGTTTAATCCTTCACACAATCAGGTCACTGACATCACCAAACATTTCCTCATTCTAATGACAATCAATCTATATCCATGATTGGGGTCTCATCTCCTCTTCACGTCTCCCTGCCCCCACCCACCACCCACAATCACAAAGTCAGTACACACACACGCAGCACGTGGCACCTCACGTATTGTATTCAGCAGAGAAACGTTGTTCTTAATATCATTCTTGCGGATGAAACTGCAAAAATATTATTGGCACTCAGGAATAGATGAAGGGTTAATGGCGGGATGGCAGGGTACCCGGAGGGATAGAGGTTAGGTTGAGATTCAGGGGAAAGGGTTTGGTTGAGGGAAAGTGTTAGAGGGTCAGGGGTCAGATCAGGGTCCACAATAATGTTTACACAGACAGGTTTAGGGTTGGCTCAGTTGCTTAGCACCAGGATTGTAGGTTTCATTACAACTTGAGGGTTAGGGACCGGGGTTAGGACCATATGCATCAGTGACATATATACAGGCAACAAAACTTCTCTTTCTTAAAGTTTATTGACGTCAAAACCTCATGTGACAGAAACCGTTGGAACAATTCTCCGGCACCAATGTGACAATCTTTATAGGAGAAACAAGTGAGTGCAGAGGGAGATAGAGAGATACAAAGTAACATTGTATATAAACATTGATCAGAGGGAGATAGAGAGATACAAAGTAACATTGTATATAAACATTGATCAGCGGGAGATAGAGATACAAAGTAACATTGTATATAAACATTGATCAGAGGGGAGATAGAGAGATACAAAGTAACATTGTTTATATACATTGATCAGAGGGAGAGAGAGAGATACAAAGTAACATTGTTTATAAACATTGATCAGAGGGGGATAGAGAGATACAAAGTAACATTGTATATAAACATTGATCAGAGGGAGATAGAGATACAATGTTGGGTCACATGGTGCGTTGGGTCCTCTTCTCTGGACTGGGCGGTTCTCTTTGAGAGCAGCATTGACGTAGTGAGGAGTACATTGTGAGTGAAGGGACCCGTAGTGAGGACCCCTGAGGGGGCGGGGCCATGGCACTATACAGTATACACTCAATCTTCTGGATTGAGCAGCGCTGGACATCATGTTCTGGAATATCAGTTGTGTGTGGAGTGGACACAAGGCACACGCGGTTCCTGTTCCTCGGCAAATATTGACATCCGGCTGCTTCCTGTCATTCACGTTCTACAAAGACAGAGCGACTCACCCGCAGAACCCGAAAAACTGGGCGTGTGACTCCCCCGGGTGCTGCCGACAGGTGACAGAACTGCAGACATCTTCCCATCCCCCAACACTTCACATTACAGGACAATACATGACTTGTATGGACAGTATATGGAGGACAGCACAGGAGAGAGAGAGAGAGTATAGAGAGGTATTGATGTTACCTGTACAGGTAGACTGTGACACCTCCCCCTCTCCTGTACTCTGGGTATATATAGTATATAGAGACATTACCTGTACAGGTAGACTGTGGCCCCCTCTCCTGTACCCTGGGTATATATAGTATAGAGACTGTGATCCCTCCCCCTCTCCTGTACTCTGGATATATATAGAGACATTACCTGTACAGGTAGACTGTGGCCCCCTCTCCCCTCTCGCCTCTCCTGTACTCTGGGTATATATAGTATATAGAGACATTACCTGTACAGGTAGACTGTGGCCCCCTCACCCTCTCCTGTACTCTGGGTATATATAGTATATAGAGACATTACCTGTACAGGTAGACTGTGGCCCCCTCCCCCCTCTCCTGTACTCTGGGTATATATAGTATATAGAGACATTACCTGTACAGGTAGACTGTGGCCTCCTCTCCTGTACTCTGGGTATATATAGTATATAGAGACATTACCTGTACAGGTAGACTGTGGCCCTCTCTCCTGTACTCTGGGTATATAAAGAGATACTGATGTTACCTGTACAGGTAGATGGTGACCTCCTCTTCCTCATCCAGCCGGGGCTCCTCCACTTTCTGGTACCGGATTTTGGGGCTCAGTGGATCCATCTGTCACGTCTTTTGGATTTACCTGTTACCTGTGACACACCCACTACCTGTTGAACTCTGCCCAGCTGTCTGTGGTCCTCTTAGGTTGTTTTGTCTCCGCCCTACTCTGTGACTATACAGTATATACATATATAGATAGAGATACCGATGTTACCTGACAGGTAGACGTTGACCCCTCCCTCCTCCTGTATTCTGGGTGTATATAGAGATATTACCTGTGCAGGTAGACGGTGACCTCCACCTCCTCCTCATCCCCCCGGGGCTCCTCCACTTTCTGGTACCGGATTTCGGGTCTCAGTGGATCCATTTGTCACCGGCTGTCACCTCTTCCGGAATCACCTGTTACCTATGACACGCCCATTACCTGTTGAACTCCTCCCAGCTCTCCGTGGTCCTCATATGTTGTTCGGTATCCGCCCATTTCCCCGCCCCGGCTCGTCCCACACACAGTACAGAGAACAGCATGCTCCGCCCAGCAGTCTCTCTGCCCCGCCTACCTCAACCCAACAGGTTTTGTTTTCTCGGCCCACCGGATTAATTTGCGTTTTATCCCCGCCCACATAGCGTTGTTTCCCCGCCTCCTCTCTCGGCAATGATGCGGTGTACAGGTGTGTACGTGGCCCCGCCCCCTCATGCCAGCTCCGCCCCCGCTGTATATCCCGTGCAGAGTTGTGGTCTCCATGGTGACCAGAGCGCAGTGTGAGGGACAGTGAGAGGCCAGTGATGCCGGATGAAGCCCCTCCCCCTTCCTCCAGTGTGTAATGTCTTCT